GAAATAGAAATCACATACCATAATATTTGCCTTTTAGAAGTGAACAGTGAGGCTGGGCAGATGCCTCAGCAAACTGGATCATCCTCCAGATAACCCTGGTTGGATTCCTAGGATCTCATCCTCAAGGCAGCTCATGGCCCCTTTTAACTCCAGTTCCAGGGAATCCAATGTCATCTTCTGTCCTCCATGGGCAGAAGGTGTACATGTGGCACACAGACATACATGCAGGCAAAACATCCATACACATGTCTTTAAGTCCATAGTGGCCTTTTGTGTCTGACTTTAAAAAATAAAACAACTCAGTCACATTGTATTATATATTAGTATATTTTTATAATCCTTTATAGGTCAAAGAATATGCTAGTCTGTAGAGATACATTTGTTTATCCCTTTACTATTTGACAAAAATTTAGATTGTTTCTGCTTTTTAGCTATTATAACAAACATGCTGCCTTAAACCTTCAAGTTTTTATGTTGATCTGGGTTTTCAATTAGGTATTTAGAAACAGAATGGCCAGATCACATGATAATTTTATATTTAGTATTTTGGGTTTTTTTTTAAGCCTGGCTATGATGCCCAGTTTTAAATGCAGTGCTGAAGATTGAATCCCAGACTTCATGCATGCAACATAAGCACTCCAACATGCCAAGCTGCAACCCAACCCTTCCAACTGAAGTTTTTTTATTTTATTGATATTTATTGAGCTCTACATTTTTCTCTGCTCCCCTTCCTGCCTCTCCCCTCCCCCCTTCAACCCTCCCCCAAGGTCTCCATGCTCCCAATTTACTCGGGAGATCTTGTCTTTTTCTACTTTCTACTTCCCATGTAGATTATATCTATGTAAGTCTCTCTTAGTGTCCACATTGCTGTCTAAGTTCTCTGGGATTGTGATTTGTAAGCTGGTTTTCTTTGCTTTATGTTTAAAAACCACCTATGAGGGAGTACGTGTGATAATAGTCTTTCTATGTCTGGGTTACCTCACTCAAAATAATGTTTTCTAGCTCCATCCATTTTCCTGCAAAATTCAAGCTGTCGTTATTTTTTCTGCTGTGTAGTACTCCATTGTGTAAGTGTACTACATTTTTCTTATCCATTCTTCAATCAAGGGGCATTTAGGTTGTTTCCATATTCTGGCTATGACAAACAACACTGCTATGAACATAGTTGAACACATGTCCTTGTGGCACAATTGAGCATCCTTTGGATATATACCCAAAAGTGGTATTACTGGGTCTTGAGTAAGGTTGTTTCCTAATTTTCTGAGAAATCACCACACTGACATCCAAAGTAGTTGTACCAGCTTGCATTCCCACCAGCAATGCAGAAGTGTTCCCTTTTCCCCACAACCTCTCCAGCATAAGTTGTCATTAGTGTTTTTGATCTTGGCCATTCTTACAGGTGTAAGATGGAATCTCAGACTTGTTTTAATTTGCATTTCTCTGATGAGTAAGGCTGTTGTACATTTCCTTAAGTGTCTTTTGGCCATTTTAGATTCCTCTGTTGAGAGTTCTCTGTTTAGGTCTCTACTCCATTTTTTATTGGATTATGTGATCTTTTGGTATCCAATTTCTTGAGTTCTTTGTATATTTTGGAGATCAGACCTCTATCTGACATGGGGTTAATGAAGATCTTTTCCCATTCTGTAGGCTGTCATTTTGTCTTGTTGACCATGTCCTTTGCTTTACAGAAGCTTTTCAGTTTCAGGAGGTCCCATTTATTAATTGTTTCTCTCAGTGTCTGTGCTGATGGGGTTATATTTAGGAAGTGGTTCCCTGTGCCAATGCGTTCAAGTGTACTTCCCACTTTCTCTTCTATAAGGTTCAATGTGGCTGGCTTTATGTTAAGGTATTTGATTTAGTTGGACTTGAGTTTTGTGCATGGTGATAGATATGGGTCTATTTTCATTCTTCTACATGTTGATATCCAGTTGTGCCAGCACCACTTGTTAAATATGCTTTCTTTTTTCCATTTGATTTTTTTTTTGCTTCTTTATCATAGATCAGGTATTCAAAGATGTGTGGGTTGATATCTGGGTCTTCTATTCAGTTCCATTGGTCCTCCTGTCTGTTCTTATGCTAATACCAGGCTGTTTTTAGTACTGTAGCTCTATAGTAGAGTTTGAAGTCGGGGATGATGATGCCTCCAGAAGTTTTTATTGCAAAGGATTGTTTTGGCTATCCTGGGTTTTTTTGCTTTTCCAAATGAAGTTGATTACCATTCTTTCGAGGTCTTTGAAGAATTTTGATGGGCATTGCGTTGAATCTGTAGATTGCTTTTGGTAAGATTGCCATTTTTACTATGTTAATTCTGTCTTCCCAAGTGTTGCAATAAGAGCGGCGGGGCTGCGTCCGCAGCACTCCGGCCACCTGCTAGCTTATGCCCCGAAATAACAACACACAAACTGTATTCATTTAAACACTGCTTGGCCCATTTCTATCTAGCCTCTTCTAGGCTAATTCTCACATATTAATCTAGCCCACTTCTAATCATCTGTGTAGCACTGCTAGGTGCGCTTACCGGGAAGATTCTAGCCTAAGTCCATCCTGGGTCGGAGCTTAATCAAGTGTGTCTCAGAGAGGAGCTATGGAGTCTGTCTGAGGAGTCTTAACTCACTTCCTCTTCCTCCCAGCATTCTGTTCTGTTTACTCCTCCCACCTATGTTTTAACCTATCAGGGCCAAGCAGTTTCTTTATTGCTTAACCAATGAAATCAACAGATTGATATATGACACTCCCACATCACCCAAGAGTATGAAAGGTCTTTCCACTTTTTGGTGCCTTCTTCAATTTCTTTCTTCAAAGATTTAAAGTTCTTGTCATATAAGTCTTCCACTTGTTTAGTAAGAATTACTTTGAGATATTTTATGCTGTTTGTGGCTATTGTGAAGGGTGTTGATTCTCTAATTTCTTCCCCAGTCCTTTTATCATCTGTGTACAGGATGGCTACTGATTTTTTTAGTTAATCTTGTATCCTGCTACATTGCTGAAAGTGTTTATGAGTTGTAGCAGTTCCTTGGTAGAATTTTGGGAGTCACTTATGTAAACATATCATCAGAAAACAGTGAGAGTTTGACTTCTTCTTTTCCAATTTGTATCCCCTTGATCTCCCTTTGGTGTCTTATTGCTCTAGCTAGGGCCTCAAGAACTATATTGAATAGATATGGAGAGAGTGGACAACCATATTTAGTATTTTGAGAGCTGCCAAATTGTTCTCCAATATGTCTGTACCACTTCCCATCCCCACCTACAGTGCATACAAGTTCCTACTTCTCAAGCATTACCATCACTTCTTATGGTTGGTTTTTATTACAGCAATTCTAGTGATTATACAATGAAATCTGTGATTTGCCTTGCATTCTCCTAATTACTAATATATTGTGTGTTTCTTCATTTACTTATTGAATTTGTGTGTCATCATTATATAAATACACATTTAAATCCTGCACCCATTTTAAATTAATGTTACTGTTTTTTGATTATTGAATTATAGGAGCTTTTTATAAATACCACATATTTGTCTTATTGGATTTGGATAGTTGCAAATAGTTTGCCCCATTCTTGAACTTGCCCTTTAATTTTCTTTGATAGAGAACTTCCAAGCCCAAAAGGTTTAATTTTGATAAAATCCAATGTACTTACTATTTTTTTCCTTTGGACTCTTGATTATAATAGCTAAAAAGATAATTACTCATAAGATATATTCCTATGTTTTCTTCTAAGAATTATATAACTTTTAGTTTTAGTCTTTACATCTAGGTCCAGGTTCTATTTTGAGTTCATTTGTGGACAGGATTTGAAGTATGGGTCCAACTTCATTCATACACATGTGGGTAGCTAGTTGACCCAGCACCATTTTCCTTTAGCAATAGTCTTTGTAGACTTTTGTTTTTGCACCCTTGTCTAAAAAGTAATTGGCCATAAGTGGAAAGGCCCGTTTCTAGATCCCCAATTCTGTTCTGCACATTCATATGGCTTTCCTCATGCCAGGACTTGATAAAATTAGTCACTAAATAAATATTAAAAAAAAAAGAAATGGGGACAGAACCCCCAGCTCTTAGGCTTCAGACATAATACTGGCCCCTGTCAGTTGGCAGGATGAATCCATTTTCCTCTTTTTTCAGGATTGCTTTGATGGTTGTTGCTCCTTGTGTTTTATGTACATTTGGGGGTCAGCTTATTACATTCTGTTTTCTGAAAAGACTCTTGGGGTTTTATAGGCATCACCCTGGAACAGGTCAATTTAAGGAGCCTCTCTCTCTCTCTCTCTCTCTTTCTCTTTCTTTCTTTTCCTTCCTTCCTTCCTTTTTTCCTTTTCTTTCCTTCCTTTCTTTTCTTATTTATTCATTCATACAACACATCCAGACCACAGCCTCCCCTGGTCTCCTCCTCCCAGTTCACCCTGCTTGAGGAGTGAACAACTTCCTTCACAACACTGTCTTCAACCTGCAGTCATGAGATGCCTTCCCCTGGGTTTTGGTTGCCTCTGACTTGTTTCCTAGTTTTTGGTATACATGTGTTGTGCTTCTTAAATCATCCCTGAGTGTGCATGACTTTGACACTGAAATGAATTTGTGATTAGAATCTATTATGAATTGAATTTTAAAAGGCAATTTAATTTGCCTTATTATTTATTTAATTTGTTTAATTAATTAATTTCATTTTAAAATGTACATTGGATGCATGTAGAAATGCAATTGATTCTGCGAATTCACCTTACATCTTATCTCCAGCCTTCCCATGTTTGTTTTTAGCTCTCTGTAGCATGTAACATGAGAGAATGTGTGACGTGCTGTGACTTAGAAAACTTGCTCCTCTCTCTGCAGGAATGGTGGCTCTCGGGTACATCAATGAAGCCATCGATGAAGGGAACCCTCTGAAGACATTAGATACCTTGCTGCTACCCATCGCCAACATCAGAGATGTGGACCCAGATTGTGCCCAGCACTACCAGGATGTTTTGTTCCATACAAAATCTCAGAAACTCTTGGTACGTTCTAGAATATGGATGTTTGCAAGAGGGAAGACTTTTGATCCATTTGTCATAAATCTGATGAGCTTTATCCCAGTTGATGAGGATGGAAACAACAAGGCTGTTTTCCTGGTACCAAGCATTAGAGAAAAGTCCAAACCCAGAGCGATCACTTCTACTCCTCCACTGAATATGCAGTTGTAGGTGAAGTCTTATCCAGAGTGCAGTTCCATGGGCATTTCCTGTGTATCAATGCCATGTGCAACATCTGGTGGGGGCAGGCACTGCAGAGGACACGTGATGCTATTTGAAAGTTTTCTGTCCTTACGGTCTAGATGGTCAGGAACTTGCTGGTGCATCACTGTTTCATAGGGAGTGGTAGGAGAGCAGGAGAGAATCAGGGTTGAGATATTGTGCTCAGAACCTTGAGCAGTTGCCATGGAGCTAGAACAGTAACTGCGCCTAAAGGAGAAAGAAGAGGTGGTTGGGAAGGTGGATGAGGAGGTTGGCATGGTATGGGCAGTGCCCGATGGATGATATCCTTATACTCTGTTCTGAGCATGGGAGGGCACTTGCCTGGAGTCCTCTTGAAGAGCAGTGATGTTATTCACATCTGAATTTACATTGAGGGGTGTCTCAGGAAGACTTAATGCTCTTGGAAAGATACTGGGCTGAGTGTTGAGACTTACAGAACCTGTTGCCCAAGAATAGAAGTGAGGCTGCCAGGTACAGTAGCCATTTCTGTCATCCGTATTCTCAGGTGCACACCCCGCTGGGAGGACTGGGTAGCTCCCCCCCCCGTGTACACCTTCAGAGCCCAGGATCTGCCCCCTCTAAAGCAGGAAAAGCACTCTGCTTAGAGCACGTGTGGACCGAGCAGCTCCTGTTTGCAGGCATGACAGTGGTAGTTAAACATATCTTGTTTAATTCTTATAATAGCCCTGAATCATTTCACCATCATCACGAGTTCTGAGATAATGAACCAGGAGTTAAATAACTGTGTCCATGGCAGACAGCAAAATAACAGCATTGAGAGAGAAAGTTGCTTGCTTTGGAGACAGGCAGGCACCATTTAGATCCTGGCTCACTGACCTTAGACAGACCGCCGTATCCCCATATGCTCATTTTCACATGCATAAAATTAGGATCATACCTGCCCTGAGGTATTACAAAATGAGTTAAACAAGAATACGAGATACATGCATGTGTTCTTATATGGCAGTATATTAATGATATTGTAAATGCATGCATTTGTTTTTATTTTTTAAGAGTTCTCGTTTTTAATTATGTGCATCTGCCTGTCCATATGAGTCCATGCGTGCAGAGAATGCACTCAGAGACCAGAGGTGTTGGATTCCCCTGGAAGCAGAGTTGCAGGTAGTTGTGAGCTGCCTGATGAGGGTGCTAGAACCCCAACTCTGGCCTTCTGGAAGAGCAGCCAGGGCTTGTAACTGCTGAGCCGTCTCTCCAGCCCTGAGTGTATGGTTTTTGTGTGTATGTGTGTAGCTATAGCATTTACTATAGAGTCCAACACAAAACAAACAGAAGCCTGTTTAAGGATTATTGAAGACTCCTGTGGTTGCTTCCCTGCCCTCTTTGAAAGGTGATTGCCATGACTGTGCACCTGACTGGGAAGCACATACAATGGATATCATGACAGGTGGGGAAAGATGCTCCTTACAGCAAGAAGGAAAGACCAGAAATGACCTTAATAGATTAGTTTTCCATGGCACTGCTGGGGATCAAACCTACAAGACATGTGCCCTTCTTCCGCTAAGCTGTGTCCCCAGCCACAATCCATAATTTTTCTCTCATCCTGATCTTTTAGCCAGGTGGTGGTGGCACACGCCTTTAATCCCAGCACTTGGGAGGCAGAGTCAGGTGGATCTCTGTGAGTTCGAGGCCTGTCTGGTCTACAAAGAGCCTGTTCCAGGATAGACTCCAAAGCTACAAAGAAACCCTGTCTTGAAAAAAACAAAAACAAAAAAATTTGGATTTGTTCTTGATGGTTATACACACACACACACACACACACACACAAATTGAGTGCCTTTTTGAAAAAAAAATAAGAAGCAAAGAAAGGACATGACTAGCCCTAGGTGTGGTAGAGGAGGAAGTTTATTACACAGAGGTGGGAGAGCACAGTCAGAAGCAGGGACATCTGGGAAAGTCCAGGGTGAACATGGCCAGACTGAGCTGTGCCATGTGAGGAAAGGGGCAAGGGAGAGGGAGGAACCAGATGCAGCAGCCAGGAGACCCCAAAAGAGTACACTAGAAGACCAGATAACCAAAATGGTTAGATTATATAAGGAAGGGCAGCTGGGGGAATTTAGGGTAGGGGGTGGGTGTGCCAGCCAGGAGGGCCCCCATAACAGGTAGAGACTGAAGGATTCAGGGAGAACCTGAAGGCCAGGTCTACTTTGATATATTAAGTAGGCACCTCGGCTGTTTGTCCTGGCTATGAAACCTAATACTTTGTTGTTTTGGTTTTGGTTTTCATGTTTGCTTGGTTGGTTTGGTTTGGATTTGTTTTCCTGTGTTTTTGAGACGGGGCCTTACTATATAAGTAGAACTTGCTCTGTGGACCAGGCTGGCCGTCCAAGTGCTGGGATTACAGATGTGTGCCACCATGCCGGATTTGTGTATGCCTTCAACTAGTTAACACTGTCCTGTTCCACCAGGACAAACTACTGCAGCTAATGGCTCAGCTCTCAAAATGAACTCCTTTCTCTGAGGTTTTTAGACTCCTAAAGCTTGCTTGAGATTGATTTTAATTGCTTAAGGTTTATCTGACTTTTACTTCGTTACACTTATTTATGTCTTTTATTTGTGTGTGAGTGACAGACTTCCTGTAGAGTCAGGGGGTAACCTGCAGGCATCGGTTCTCTTCTTGCACAGGGTGGGTTAAGGAGATCGCGCGTGTCACATTTGGTAGCAAGTGTCACCCACTGAGCTGTCCTGTAGCCTTGTAAAGTCTTTTAATGTAATGCTTTTGTACAAGGATCTATTGTTTGTTGAGCATATATCCCCCTCATGCCTACTATCAGCTCTGACCCTCCCCTTCCCCTTTGCCCTCCTTAGACAGTCCACCCCTGTCATTTTATACATGCACATATACACGACTTTGTTTCTTTGTATAAAATCTCGGCCCCACAAAGGGTGAGAGAGAGAAAAATATTTTTTTTTTCTGTATACTCTGAGATGGCCTAATTTGCTTAATACGATGATCTCCAGATGTTCTCATTTTCCTGCAAATGGCATGGCTTCCTCCTCTAAGGGTAAAAATGCTTGCTAGGAAAGGACACTTTCTCCAGAGCTTGCCTTAACCACTCCTCTGTTGCTGGGCTCCTGCCAGGTTCTTTATTTAGCTGATGTGAATGATGCTGTAGGAAATATGGGCAGGCAAGGGTCCCTGTGAGGTGTGGACCTGGAGGCCTTCAGGTCAATGCATGTCCAAGTTTGATGAAACAAGAAGCTATATATTCTCGACAATGTTCGCTTAAGATGTATTTTTATTGTTTAGTGGATTATAACAAGTCTTACAGCTTCAGCCCAGCAATACTGCTTGCTCAGAGGTTCCCTCAAGTCCATTTTTAGTCACTAGTGACGCTCCCCCATTAGCCACCGACATCACTTCTCCCATTCGTTCCCTCGGCTTATCTACAGGAATAATCTGGAGATTTATAATATAATACCATTTCCCATTAAAACAAAGGGGGGGTGGAAGTAGCTGGAGACATTATTTAAATTGCTAAATAGCCAGGTGGTGTGGTAGCACAGGCCTTTAATCCCAGCACTCAGGAGCCAGAGGTTGTCGGATCTCTGTGAGTTCGAGGCCAGCCTGGTCTACAAGAACTAGTTCCAGGACAGGAGCCAAAGCAACACAGAAAAACCCTGTCGCCAAAAACTAAACAAAACAAAAACAAATAAATTGCTAAATGACTTTATGAGGGTATTGCTGTTTAGCTTCCTTATTTTTGTAAACAAGTCTAATCAGAAATGATGTCATCTCATGTCATATGGGCTATGCTGGCTTGTCAGATTGCACTGAGTAGACCTCTGTGCGGCTTAGATGCATTGGGGTTTTATTCGGTCATTCAGCCACAAAGCTATACAAAGGATGAAGCTGACCCCACAGGGCATGACTCTGGAATGACCACGAGAACCTCAAAGTGGGGAGGACAGACACCACCTTCTCTATCATCCCTCCCAGGTGGCTTCCGGGACCCCTGCAGACGCTGAGCTGCACAGATTCCGAATCCCTGTAGCAATGGTACTGTGCTTGGCTACAACCCCTTCGCATCCTCTCATTCATTTCACATCACTTCTGGAGGACTGTAGCAACACCTAATCCAGTGCAGATGCTGTATAAAGAGTGATGCAGGATAAATGCTGCCCAAAGACGCTGCGCTGTGTCGGGAACAAGGAAAGTCCGTTCACGTTCAGCTCATAGAACTCTTTCCATACAAGTGTTTTTGATCTGTGGTTGTTTGAGTCTGCGGGTGTGACGCTTGTAGGCACAGTGATCTTATGACATAGAAAACTTCATAGTCTTATGCAAATGAGTTTAGCAGGCTTGTTTGTATAGAAGGGCCATAATTATAAGAAAGTGCTTTAGAAACCCAGATGAAGAAAATGACACTTCTAGTTTGAGAGTAAAGGAAGAACAGTCCTTTAAAGACGTGGAAAGTGGAACAGATTAGAACAGAGAGGCTAGAATGGGCTTTCACGGGGGCAGCGGGAAAGGGAAGGAAAGACAGGTGGTGAAGCCAGCAGGCCTGGTGCATGGCTTCACAGGCCACGTTAGGGAACTGGCCAGGAAAGCCACCCTCGGGTTTGTCACTGTAGGAGCCGTGCGGGGTCAAGGGAAGTGTTTGCCTGATGTATTCAGGAAGATACTCAGAGAAGGTGAAGTGAAGGCTCGGCCAGCGGTGAGGACACCCGGTTAAGACAGAGGTGGGATAAAGACAAGTTCCCAGCAAGGGACAGTGTAACTGTTCAAAGAACCACAAGTAATGCTAAATCCCCAGGATGGCAGTGCTAGTCACTGGAGGAAAGGGGGAATTTAAAGCTTGGAGAATAAAGGAGGCAAATAGAAACCTGTCAGTTGTCACAAGGAGAATAATGATAGTTTTGTGAAAGATTAAGGCATTCTTAAAATACTGGCGAAGTATTTTTAATCCTAATAATTTTACAGCATTTGATGTCTGAAGCACTATTTCATAGGAGCTTTGAAATGGAACTCTTGCCAGGCCTGGTTGTGTGTGCCCTTAATTTCAGCACTCAAGAGGCAGAGGCAGGCAATCGCAGGTTTTTTGAGGTCAGCCTGGTCTAGAGAGTTCTGGGCTAGCCAGGACTATACAGTGAGACCCTGTCTTAAAAAAAAAAATTAAAACAAAGATAAAAATTGAGCTGTTGGTGTCATGCACAAGTCAGCCCAAGCGTGTATATTTTCTCTAAGACGATCTTGCCCTCGTTGGCTAAGAAGTAAGCTGGTCTAGAGTTTTTGACATGACAAAATAAAGGAATGGATCTAGGCAGCTGTTCAGGCTACCCAGGCACAGAGCTATCAGATACATAAAGTACAAGCTATCAGTGTGGTTGTAATAGTAGTTGGCATGGTGGACTATGAGTATAATGTTGGTAGGAGCAAAGCAAATAGTGAAAATGACAAGGATGAGGAGAATTGCCTTGATGTACCTCAGCCATCTGCGGTCCTGGGCGTTAAGTTTGCGGATGAGAGTTGTATAGCAGTAGACAATGACCACAAAGGGAACGAGGAACCCGAATAACGCTAAGGAGATGAAGTAATAGAACTGGAAGGGAGACAGGGACTCGCATGTGCTGTGGACATCGTGACAGGTGGTGATCTCTGGCTGGACGAGATGGTACTCCTGCTGCAGGATGGCAAAGGGCAGCATGTATAAGAAAACCATCACCCACACCAAGCCACACATGAGCAAAGTGAAGTTGCGTTTGGGCAGCTTCCGGTACATGAAAGGGTGGACGGTGGCCAGGTAGCGGTTGACGCCCATGCAGGTGAGGATCAGAATGGAGCAGTACATGTTGCCGTAGAAGATGACCGTGGTGACCCGACACATGGCCTCTCCGAACACCCAGTTGTTCCCGTTGAGATGGTAGGCGACCTTAAACGGCAGCGTGACACAGAAGAGGAGGTCTGCGATGGCCAGATTGGTGTGGAAGATGACCAGACAGATGGATTTGGTCCTTGTGGAAAGTTTCCACAGGGTCACAATGTTCGCTGGCACACCAACCACAAACACCAGGATATAGATGGCAGGTATCAGTTTGGTACTTAAGGAGCTTCTCAGGTACCCCATGGTAGCATTGTTCACAAGGAGAGTTGAAATACTCCCCTCGGGGCATCTCAGTTTTACAGTTGCAGTGGCTCCCGTCCAGCCCTCTATGTCAGAAAGCGGGAAGTCTTCAAAGGTATGGGGCTCTCCATTAAAGGTCTTAATAGTTAAGGTTGGCTTGGCTGAGTTCTCTGGGATGTTTTTTATACCTGTAATTGAAAGAAAATATTACATATGATTTGTGAAGTCCTAACGGTGGTTTGGATAAAAATGAAATGTTTGATGCTTCATGATTTCTGTGGTTATAGAACTTGGGGTCATTTTTTTAGAAATCTCTATAGATGATGTAACCCACAGGCATGTATATAATATGTATAATATACCATACTGTGCTTTCCTGTGAGAACTAGATATCAATCAGGACTTTAGAATAGCGTTCCAGTGGTTCTCAGTCTGGGTCATGACCCCTTTGGTAAGGCTCTGTCTCCAAAAATATTTCCTTTGCAATTTATAGCAGCAGCAAAACTACAGTTTTGAAGTAGCAATGAAATAATTTTATGGCTGAAGTCACCACAACACAAACTGTATTAAAGGGTCGCAGCACTAGGAAGGTTGAGGACCACTGTCGTAGATGAAACAAAACAGTACAATGGAATATTATAGAAAAAAATATTTTATTGTCTACAAGCTATCGGGAGATAGTTAGCCAACTCGAGTATTCAAGCAAACTATCACTGAAAAGATAAAACTTGAGCAAAGACGAGCCAGCTGCAGATGTGGAAGCTAATATGTGAGGTATGTTCTCACGGTGATGGCTGGGCACGGGATCTGGGAATGGCCAGTCCCTTTGATTCTGACAATGTCAGTTGCATACATTGCAGTGCTGTGACGTTTTAAACTCCACTGCCGTCAACAAGCAATACTTAGGCCAGAGAAGAAGTGCACGGGCATGTTCTGTCTTGTGTTAATTTGATACATCTAAGAGATGAAGTTGAAGAAGTCTCACAGTTCCCGAGGGGACCCTAAACTGTCCTCTGAAGCCATGATCTGTTTGTACATTCTGGGGGTGCACACAAAGTCTTTTCCATTTTTGCTGGCAATCGAACACGGGGCTTTTCAATGCTAGGTAGCTGCTCTACCACTGACCCCCACCTCCACCCTCTGCGTGCAAAATCTGCAGAGGGATGACTCCTGTGGTGGATGGAGTAGCATTCCACTCACTCCCGATCCCACCTGCTATCCTGTGGAACCTAGGATATGCTACCTCACATGAAAAAGGGGTTATGTAGTTAGGTATCAGGAGATGGGGACAGAACCCTAGCTTGGCTAAGTGGTCTAAATGCAATGTTACAAGTTCTTATACATGTGAGGCAACAGGATCAGAGTCAGGCTTGAGGTGATGCTATTGGCTTTGAGGTTGGAATAGAATCCAGGAGCCAAGGAGCTCGGGCAGTGTCGAAGGCAAGACCAGATTTTCTCCTGGAGCATCAGGAGTGAACACAACCCTAGCAACACCTTGATTTTTAAGAATTTTGACCTCCAGAGGCATCAGATGGTCAACCTGTGTTGTCTAAAGCATCAATACGAGAACATTTATTATAGCCTGGACAGGAAACTAATGTAACCATGATTTTGGCCCGTGTTTAAAGTGGGTTTGGTGGCAGAAGGTTATGATGGTAAGAGATTCAGGGCAGGGGGACCTGATGTGCAGACTGCTGACCAGATTGCTCAGAATCTAAGGGTGGTGAGTCACTGAAGTAGAGGCAAGGCTGTAAACAGGTAAAGACGGGAATTCGTAGTTACGCTGGACTCTGAGGGCCATCTCATCTGATTGGCTGTAGAGGGGCACTTGCAAGCAATATAACTGGAGGTTTCCATTCTGAATGATTTAGAGGAAGAGGGCGCTGCTTATAACTGCTATCGGGCAAGAGTGAGGAGATAAAGTGGGAAAGAAATTCAGACCTTGGGTTTATAGGAGGTTTGTGTGTTTGGCTTGTTGAGACAGGGTCTCACTATAACCCAGGCTGGCCTTAGCTCCCTTTGTACTGGGATTCCAACTGTGTGCCACCACACCTGGCTAAATCTCGGGCTGTTGTATGACCGACCTGGGACAGCTACTGGAATGCTAGTCTGTAAAATGTTGGGCAAGCAGTTCCAACTCTGGATGTGGCATTCCCAAAGGCCAAGAGCAAATGTGGGGTGTGCCTGCCTTAGTCTTCACGGGGTCTGTGGTTAAATTAGGAGAGTGGAGAAGTGGCCTAGGGAGAGATATGGGAAGAAGGAATGCAAAGATGGGCTTCGGGAGAAATACCAGGTTTTAAGAGAAGACAGAAAAATCAAAAGATAAAATTACTGTGATGATCTAAGGAGTTAAAAATGGATTTTTAAAATGGAAGAAACATACCAACTATGTGCGGTAGAGACTTGGCACGACTCAGCTTGTTCATGTTAATAATCAGTTCCTCGAAAACCAATTTAAACCTCATACATTCCAACCTGAGAAGCTACTCTCCTACCACTGAGGTCCTGACCCAAAGCCCCTGAATCCTCCATTTTAAACATTTGAGGATGGTGTTCAGAGGTCTGTCCTCGTTCAAAGCCAGACCTGATTTAATCTCTGGCCTTTGCTCCCAGGTGTAAACTCCTTCATACCTTGGAGTCTGCCCAGGCTGAATTCAGTGTATCAGGTGGGGTCAGTGTTATCTGAACAACTGCTCTGTGAAGGCGACCCGGGGTTGTTTAAGGAAGGAATCATTTGGAAGGTAGCGGTCTGTGTATCTGTGCTAAGATGGAGCCTTGGAGGAAAGCCCTGTGATGTTTGAGCTCAGTCACTCAAATCCTTCTGCACATTGCCTTTGGGAAAAGTCAAGATATCCCTCAAAACAAGTGCTTTAGCAAGTTGGGCAGAACGGTGTGTACAAATTTCTTCCCTCCAAGGTCTGGTGAGAAACCTGATGAAACCACTTGTTGGTCAGTTTTCAGATGAATCCTGTGACTGAGCAAGACCCAGTATCTACATACTGTTTCCATGAGGTCTCAGGTGTGCCCCCCATCTATGCCTTCTGTGAGTCTGAACCTAAAAAATAGTGTTCCTTGTTAGATTTTATTCTTATAAAAAAAATGACTAGGGTTCTTTGGGTTTTCTTTGGTGTGATGTTTCTGAAATGCTCTCAGCTTGGGAGAAGGCTTCAGATATAATCCAGAGAGAATGGCCCTCTGGTTCCTGGTGACATATCTTCCCATCGTATCTCCCCATAGCAGTGGGTGAATGAATCCACCCCCAAGTCTCCTTTCAAGTCCTCCCAAGCTCTACTGGCATCAGGAAGGAACCCTCTCATGTAACGCATTTCCTTGCAAATGTGGCTCAGCCACATTTGGCTTATTCTCTCAAAGGAACCATAAACCTCTCTAAATCCTGTTTGCTCAGCCCCTACCATAGGTCCCCTTAAGCATGCTGCAGGGACCTCAACTTTGCAGAGGGTTGTCTTCTGTTTAATTTTGGTTTCATCCCACATCCCCCTCATAACACTGCTGATTGCCCTGTGACCTGACAGTGAGAGAGAGTCCTGGATGCAATCCTGTCTCAAAGTAGTTCATTTCAGAGCAAACAGAAATGATGGGTAAAATTATAGACATGTTCAAGGCAAAATAATTATTTGGGGGAGATCTTATTTCTAAAATTATCCATAGCTAAATTATGTATAATCATAGCATATACATATATACATTTGTACACATACACACAGGGATGTCTGTGTGTGAGAAAGAGAGAGGGAGAGAGAACTCCCTGATACTAAAACCTTAAGGTAATAAAAGGTATTTAACTTTAGAAACATTGTTAACCTTCCTGACTGTTGAAACCAAATGACACTTTGTGGCAGTATTTTTCCCCACCTGTGCCTCAACAGAAATTATAAAACTTATAAACTTAAAAAGATTTGTAATCCCTTGAAAAAATACAATCTTTTCCAAATCAGGAAATTTCATAAATGCAAACACTTCTCACAAAGAAAGTTGCTTTTTGACTTAATTGAAGATAAAGTTTTAACTCAGACACAAATGTGTAACTACTAATAGAGAACATTGGTCTTTAACAAGGTTTGACTTGGCAACAAACTTTAGCTACCTCAGTTATTCCTCCTCGTAATAACCCAGATCGTGCTCTGCCTTTGGGTTCACAATTCTTGGGAGGCAACAAGAAGAGTAGGTTCATTTGACTCCCACAGCACAAACGGTCCCCGTTCCCACCCCATCCTATTCCAGAAGAGGACTTACCACTCTGGCAAAAAGTGGCCGGCAGGAGCAGCAGCCTGGCAGCAATCAAGATAAGGACCTTAACTTTCATGTCCTGAAACCCGACTATGGAACGTTACCAAGTGTGCAAAGTCACAGAGCAGATTTCCCTCTGATCCATGTATTAGCAGCAAGTGAGAGTCTGAGAAACGTCCAGCCTGCACTGTGTGGGCAGGAACTTGCCCTGCCTCGGCAGGGGAAGGATGTGGTGGCTTGACGTTTCCTAATGAGTGACTCAGGCTGAGCCTCACTGAGTTGCCACATCCCTTTAATGCCTCTTCAGCCCCTGCCATCATTTCTTTAGAACCAGTGCTGTATTTCTCCCCAGGGCACTGAAATAATGGCAGAGACTGGCCGAGGCCTTTTGCAAAACAAAGCTGAGAACAGACTCAGCTTCAATTAGCTTTGAATTGCTTCCACAGTGCGGTTTTTTTCCATTTCAAAAACACGGCTCCAGAGTTATACTTTCTGTTTAATACATGCATAATTAGAAATTCTACTTATATATCAGTGCCTCGCTCAGCCATTGTCAGAGAGGCTTCTTCTTCTAGTAGAAGGGAACTAACGCAGAGACCCACAGCGGGCAGTGTGCAGAGAGTGAGAGATTTTGGAGTACTTAGTCTTAAGTAGGATGTTTTCATCAAACCCCTTCCCTCAAAGCTTGGGAATCAGTACAGAATAAGAGGCTGAAAAATTGTAAGAATCAAAAGGGATGGATGACTCCAAGGAAACTCTTCAAGATAAAACAGGACTGATGTACATATGAACTCAAGGCTTGCACAGGTTCAAGCCAAACAGGGTTCCAGAACTGAGAGGGGGAAATGGACCTGGGCTCCCAGCACTGACCAAGAAGCTATCTGCAATTGATTCCTATGGCAAAGGAAACGTTGGTTCTTTCCGATGGATTCTCACTACGTAGTGTATTAACCGCATGTAAGGGGAGGTCCCATGCCCAGGAGTGAAGTCAGTGGTGGCTTTATAGACATTTATCTCATATTTCTTTGAGCATTTTTTTTGTCTTATTGGTCTTTCGCTTGTATATTTTGGTTTCCATTTTTTGTGTGTTTTTGTGGGTTTTGGTGTGTATGTGTGTTTTTTATTTTTTGTTTGTTTGAATATAGGGTGAAAGGACAGGGAGTTGGGGAGGTGGAACGAGTCTGGGAGGAGTTGAGGGGAAGGGAAAGTGTGATCAGAATATAATAAGAAATTTTTTTGCAAAAATCAAAATAAAATTGTGCTTTCTTTTATTCCGTTTCAAACTTTAGTTCCTAAACCGATCACATAATTATAATCGAAATTAATTGTAAAAAGCAAACACCCCCTTCCTCACCCTCCTCCTTTTGAGACAGAGTTTCATGTAGCCTAGGCTGGCCTTGAACTCAAGATGAAGCTGAAAATTGACTTGTGCCCAAGGACTCCTCGTCCTTCTGCCTCTGATCCCAGGCATGCATCACCACACTTGGCTTCTGTGGTGCTGGAGACTGAACCCAGGCTTCATACATGCTAGGGAAGGACTCTACCAACAGACTTCCATCTTCAGTCCCGGCAACTATTTAAGATGGAGAATTCTCTGTCTATCCGAGCTTCACAGTGCGCATTCATGATCCCGGCACTTGACAGGCTGCAACAGGAGGACGTCAGTGAGTCAAGCATCAGCTTTGGTTATGTTATGAGTTTGACCAGCCTCAGGAGCACAGTGAGACCCTGTTTCAGAGGGAAAGAGAGGAAGATTCTCCGCCTACCTTGGTGCTTGTATGGAATTTAGTTTTGTTGTCTCTGTGAGGAAGGTGTGTTTGCCACAGATCAATGTGTTCTAAATCGTCTCATAACTCTGCAGAGTCAGATTACAGGAAGGACCCATGCCAAACGTCTCTATCTGAACTGAACTAAAATCATAACAATAGTGAAGTACAAACAACTCTATTTGATTGAACAAAAGGCAAAATAAAATTGAAAGTACAAGGACTTGCTTTATTCCATGGATCTTGGTGAACAGGCCTATATAATAAGCATTTTAAATTTTATGTATATGACATATATATACATAATATAGAATATATATTAATGTACAGTTAAATTGCATATATACACATTTATGTATTTATATATATATCACATTTATATTTAGCCATTATAATGTTCACTAGTGTTAAGTATATTTAACAAACCATAAAGAAGAAACCTTGACTCTAATATGTTTGCCTTAATGAACAATATATAATTAAATTCCAAGTCAGAAAACTCAACCTCTAAAATTCAGCAAGAGTCAGAAAATTCACACTTCACATGAGACTTAAAGGCAGAGGAAGGGGTAACGAGGAAGTAATAGACAGATCTATATTAACTTTTATCATCTTGATTAAATTTAGCCAAACCAAGTCATTTCCAAAGGTCTAATTAACACTTCAACTACATAATCTACAGTATCATAAACTAAGGTAGAATTTTCTAATACTGTAGCAACAGTAAACCCAGAAAATTGGGGGGAGGGGATAGCCTGTTTTAAACTTTCTTGGCATCACCCAAATTCAGCAAGTTATTGTTGATTTGCTGGAGACCTGATTGTTGGCCATTCCGTCCACTCTTCACTCACATGCATAGCCACATGGGTGAAGGCCTGGCCATCCCAGAGCTGTTCCCCTATCTCCCTGTGAGTGACTGACTGAAAGGGAGAGCTCACACCCTACAGCTCACACCCTACAGCTCACACCCCTACAGCTCACACCCCTACAGCTCACACCCTACAGCTCACACCCTACAGCTCACACCCTACAGCTCACACCCTACAGCTCACACCCTAAAGCTCACACCCCTACAGCTCACACCCCTACAGCTCACACCCCTACAGTTCACACCCCTACAGCTCACACCCATACAGCTTTGTTTTCACTTTTGATTTTGTATTTAACTTTTCTTCCAGTACATCATGGTCTCAAAGCTGTTGATTTAAATTTGTTTGGTTTTGCAAAGTCTGACTTCAGTTTGCCTTCTGAGACTAATACTTTGATCTTCAGTGTGGAACAGCCACCATCTTCTTATCCAGGCAAGAGTGTGTGTGGTCCATCTTCTACAGCGACTCTCATGTTCTTCAGAAGAAGAGGGCTGAGATGAGAGGAACCTGTGTAGTGTTTGATTTTTAGATTATTCCTGGGGAGGATGGGGTTTCTTTGGGTTTAATAAAACAAGAAAAAAAAATCCTAGGGCTAGTGAGAAGGCATGGAGGGTAAAAGCACTTGCTTGCTACTCAAGTGACCTGGGCTCAACCCTTGAAACTCAATTAAAGGTGGAAAAAAAAAAGAAACAACTCCACAAAACTGTCCTCTGCCCCCACATTCACACAGATACACACACACACACAATACGGGAATATGTTTTTAAATCCTGTTTTCCTGTCTCCTTTCTTTTCCAAGCCTCTCATTTTTTCCGTTTCTTGCTTGAACCTCTTCCAAAGTTTCATTTCCTAAGAAGTTATTAAGCCGCTCGGTGATGCTTCTTCCCACATGACAGTTGTAGCTGGAGATGACTCAGGAAACAGGCCTTATGAAGTTTCTAGAGCGCTCTGTCTGCCCCCAGTGATGCAGGAAGAAGCAGCATGCATCTGATCTAGGGCCCTCACCACACACATTATCTCATATAGTTCCTGAGGAAGATGGTTGGATATTTGCTGGTAAATCTCCCTCCAGACCCAGGGCTCTTCCTGAGCTCTTAGTGATGAAGTTTGTCCTAGACGACGTCAATACCAGAGTTGATTCTTTCCATATACTACAGCTATGCATGGGTGTGTGAGCATATCCATGTGTGTTCATAAGTGTGGGTACCTGTGGGGGGGTGCATGTGTGCTAACAGGTGTGTCTGCACAGGCATGCAAATGAATATGGAGGCCTCGGGACAACCTCAGGTGCCATCCCTTGGATGCTGTCCACCTTGTTCTTTTTTGAGACGGTCTCTCACTGGCCTGGAATTTGCTGTTTCAGTGAGGCTGACTAGCCAGTGAGCCCCAGGCATCCTCCTGTCTCTACCTCGCCGGTGATGACCTTAGAATGGCAAACTACCACTCCTGGCTTTTTTTTAGTGGGTCCCAGGGGATCAAACTCAGGTCCTTGCACTTGCCAGCTGAACTATTTCCACAGCTTCTCCCAGGCATCTTGATTAGGTTAGAGTACCACACACACACGCACACACACACACACACACACACACACACACACTTTAACAATGGAATTCCAGAGGCTGGAGAGCTGGTTCAGCAGTTACAATCTTACAGATGACCTGAGCTCAGTTCCTGGCATGCATGTTAGGGAGTTCACAACTGCCTATAGCCAGCTCCAGGACCGGATGACCCCTCTGGATTCTGAGGACAATTCCACTCGTTTGCACATACATGCAAATAGACATATACATGTTAATAGAAACAAAATAAATCTTTTAAAAAGTGGGATTCTAGGGGCTGGAGAGATGACTCAGCGGTTAAGAGCACTGGCTGCTCTGCCAGAGGTCCTGAGTTAGATTCCCAGCAACCACGTAGTGGCTCACAACCATCTGTAATGAGGACTGGTGCCCTCATGCAGGCAGAACACTGTAAAGGTAATAAGTAAATCTTTTTTTTTTAAAGTGGAATTCTAGAGCTAGAGAGATGGCTCAGAGGTTAAAAACACTGACTGTTGTTCCAAAGGACCCAGGTTCAATTCCCAGCATCCACATGGCAGTTCACAACTGTCTATAATTCCAGTTCCAGGGGATCTGACATCCTCACACAGACATGCATGCAGGCAAAGCCCAATATACATTAAGTAAATAAATACATCTTTAAAAAATAGTGGAATTCTACATCTTTCCTTAAAGTATTTAATGTCTACCCCCCAAAAAAAAATGCCTTGAACTCCCGTTTAATAGCTGCCAGCACTGTGTTTGTAGCAAAATCTTCAGAATTCACCTGGACATAAAACACTCAAAGCAATCCCGTTCATTGCCACAGCGGCTGTGGCCTCTTTCTGAAGCCACTGTTAACTACTTAGTGTTTTCTGCTGTGTGCCAACCCCTTCTTGCCTCCTTCTCAACCCCTTGTCATAGCTTATCCCACCTGAGTGCAGCGTATTCCGACGGCTCTGGCTTCTCCAAGAGCTTCTTGGCTCCTTCAGACCAGTTACCGTACTTTTGTGTGTTTTTGTCCAGGTGTCTGACAAACATTGGGTATCATGGTTCCTGAATGCTTAACTGCGTGGCCATGGATGGCTTTTTGATAGAGGTGGCATTTGAGTTATGAGTTATGAGACATGGTAGCCAGCTAGGGAAGAGTGTTGTGCGCTGAAGGAGGGTGAGACTCAAGTACAGGGAATGAGAAGCTAGTGGGCCAGGCAGGACCCCATCCCTGGAGCTACATCTGCAGTCCTGAGAAGAGAGCTTGCATTTCTAAGGTTAAACAGGTAGGAGACATCGCTTTGAAATGATTGGGTGTTCTCACTAGAGAGCTACTATGGTACAGAGCAAAATGGAAGGAATGAAGCCACATGGGACAGCAGCGTAGCTGTCCACCTAGGGCAGCGGCTCTCAGCCTTCCTGAGGCTGTGCAGACCCCAAACCATAAAATTATTTCACTGCTTCTTCATAGCTGTAATTTTGCTACTCTTATGAATCCTAATGTAAACATCTGATAGGCAGGATGTCTGATCTGCGACCCACAGGTTGAGAACCAGTGACCTGGAGGATGATGCAGTCTGTCTGTCACCAGCTTGTGCCACATGGTGGTGCTACCTGGTGCTTGCTGCATAAGAACTAGGGAATGACAATGAACCCTGAAGGAGGGGTGTTGATTCATTGTTCTTTGATTCTGTGTTCCAGGATCCTGAGAGCGTGTCTAAAGTTCTCTGGCTGGACGAGATACAGCAAGCCATCGATGAGGCCAACGTGGATGAGAACAGAGCAAAACAATGTAAGCACCCCCCCCCCCTTCTTCATCTTGCCAGACCTGCCTTGCTTTTATGTGGTTTTGCGCCTGAAGTCATTAACTTTGAATTTCTGGAAAGATCTGAATACTTCTCAGTTTTCAGTCTCAGCTGCATCTCCAAACAAATTCGTCACTAGCTAGTTTCCAGCCAGCAGGTGCTGTCTCCAGCAAAATCTGACAGCGTTGCCAAACAAAAACCCAGATAGCAAGAATGTTTCGTAGACTCTGAAAGTGTATGTTGATCCTTTGGAAGCTATTTCTTCTCAATAAGTGTCTAGCCTCTTTTCTTATGCTCTCCATTGTTAGCAGTAATTTTTCACAGAAACAGGACCAAAAGGTGGGCAGAGAGGAGGCAGGGAGTGGAAAACGCGAGGTCAGATCTGCAGACTGGTGTCAGCTCTTAATTTCCAAGGGCAAATGGGCGTGGTTGCATCTGAGAGCAGACTCTCCAATAGTGCGAATCAGAGACGTGGAGTTGGACAAGTCTCATGATATTTCTATAGGTGAAGTTACCTGGTAGTTATTATTTCTCTCTTGAGCTGTATAAATGGAAGCGTTCAGGGTCACGTGAAAAGAAATGGAGTCGGTGCGATGGCTCAGCGGGTAAGGGTGCTTGCTGCCAACACCCACCCAGGGTTGATTCCTGAAATCCACGTGGCAAAAGCTGACTCCCATAACTTATCCTCTGTTCTTCGTTTGTGTGCATGTGTGCACACATGCACACGCATGCGCATACATGCACATGCATGCACACCTAGGTAAATGAATAAATAAATGGAAGAAAAAATATTAAGAGAGGTCTAACTTGAATCATGAAAACAGTCCAGGCCCCTGAATTCACATACTGGAGTTTATTGTAAAACCCACAGGACCTTTGAATGAAGGACAGGCCAAGTCTCCTTGAGACAGGCTGTCACTTCACCACCAAAAAAAGAGTGTTGTTAACCCGTTTGCCAGAAGGACCCATAGCCTTCTGCATGATGACCGCTGCGGTATGGGGATGGACTAAAGACATTAGCAATTTTTTTTCAGTGATGCTGGCTTTGAGT